TTTTCAAATTTTTTTTTCATTTTTTTTCAAAATTCGGGGAAAACCAGACAAACTAGTTGGATATTTTCTAATTTTTAAAAATTTAATATGCATAAAAACAGGAGAAAAATCCCCAGTTCAGACAACTTCAAAACTTTTAATTTTTTTTTATACATTTATTTTTAAAAGGAAAAAAAAAATTTAAAAGCCCGTTAATTGGTTTTTCGTTCAATCCAAAAACTGAAAAAACCCAAATTAAAAGGAGGGAGAAACCAATTATGTGTAAGATAAAAAAATTTTAAAAGAAATTTGCTTTTTTTTTTTAAAATTTCCAAATAAAAAATATGTTATTAACAGTTGTCAACTAATCGATACTGTCTTTGGAAAGTTATTAAGCGAAACTTAGTGGTTGAATTTCCACAAAAAGCTATATAGACTGTCTTTACAAATGGTGCAATCGAGTACACTAACTTTTAAAACTTTTTAAAAAGATTGTTATGTGAAGTGCTCTATTATTTAAGACTTAAAACTTTTCATATGACATTAAGAGGACGTTTTTTTTCACACTTCTTTTAAATAGATATAAATAAGTGGGAAAACACAGACATTGATTTTAACATCGATGAAATGTGACATTTGAATTTAGTATCAAATCAATTGCACGGAAGTAACGAATTTGAAACTCAGTCGCCGGAAATAGAGTATCGCAGATGGCACACCAGAGCCTTGGAGGAGGACCTCGTGGCCCGAGAAACTGGATGTGTACACTTTGCAGAAAACATTTCAATGAACCAAAAATTCTCAACTGTTACCACATGTTTTGTCTGAATTGTCTGAAAGCTCACGTGCATGCATACTGTAGAAACGGACTGTTTCCTTGCCCAGTATGCAAAGTACTGATTCCACTTCCGGTTTGGGGAGGACTAGACGCGTTCGAAACCATTAATCCGAACCCTGTCAAGAGTTTATATTGAAGTGCTGACAGTTTGGATATATGAGTGGTGTTTTGTTTCATGAATATTTATCACATGGGGATATTACTGCATCGATTCTATCATTCATAGTATTGTGATAGTAGTACATTTTCAAAAATTTTAAACGTGCAAAATATCATCATAGACTGCGGACATCAACAATTCAGAATAATTATGCTGTTATAGAAAAGCTGTTCAACTAACAGTTGCATCAAATATTTATAATATTTATAATCTTGTTCTGTAAAATATGATATCAGATTAACTTTTAATGAATATTTAATTGAATGTCAAATATTTGTAAAATTGTTTACAATATTTCAAATAATATTTAAAAACGTTTATAGCTTTACTGCCTAGTTTAGTCCAGAAAACGGGATAAACTAGTCCTGATTTTTTTCCCCCTAAATGCTCCCACTCGGACTCCCAAACTGTAAAACTTATAACATTATTAAGAATTATATCAAGTACTAAAATCAATCTTTGGTGCGCTACATTATTTTGTTTTGATATTCTAACTATTTCTTAGAATAACAAAAACATTTTATCTTTAACAACTCTTAAGTTTTATTCGAGAATGTAAAATCTCGCTACTTTATCTGTAAAAGATACAGAACGACGGCAAAAGACTTTAAGGCAGAATAAAAATGTATTCCAACAGGTGTCATTTTACTGGTGTCATAACTGATAGTTATAACTGATGTCATATCTAGACATTTTATTTAAGCTGCACTAAATCCACGTGGAAAGTTACAGTTAAAAAGACACTTTATGAATAGCTCTGCTGGGTGTATAGTCGTATATACTATATAGCCCTGAGCCCGGTAAAGATCGAACACGTGCTTCCTGGGTTGAGAGACAGACACCTTAACCACTCGTCCTCCGCTCCTCTTGAAATATTTAAATGGATAAAGCTACAAGTCCTCCTCTCTTGTGTAATTTATTAAGAAAAAAAACCCATATAACATATGTACTTGTTTTGTTGCTATTCTTGCAGTAGAAGTTGTACAAATTAACGAAAAGAAGTAGATTTGTTCCCGTGCTTCTTCAATAGATTCAACAAACAAAGTTAAAACCAAATCAAACCATATCGGAGTCAATATTCTTTAAGAAATATTAATCGGGGGTCATAATTCAAAGGGGCCGCTTTACTTCGTTACCTAGCAAATTGCAATAATGCACTGCCATCTAAAATCTAGATACTTTAAGACCTCGTTGACGATTATAAAAGTCATTAAAAAATGAAATATATTGAAACAGAACATAAGAGTAAAAACAGTCGTTTTGTTCAGTAACTATTTTTTGCTTTCAAGACAATTTGATGTGCGGGACTAATATTATAATGACCGGAGAGTCAAAATTCTTTAAGAAATATAGATCGGGGTCATTATACTAAGGGAGTCACTTTTCTTCGTTACACCGGATACCTGACCTTAGCATATTGCTCGCATAAATCAAGATACTTAAAAATCGTATAATAAGAATAATAATAATAGTAGTAGTAGTAGTAGTAGTAGTAGTAGTAGTAGTAGTAGTAGTAGTAGAAGTAGTAGTAGTAGTAGTAGTAGTAGTAGTAGTAGCAGCAGCAGCAGCAGAATCAGTAGCAGTAGCAGCAGCAGCAGCAGAATCAGTAGTAGTAGCAGTAGCAGCATTAGCAGTAGCAGAAGCAGCAGCAGTAGCAGCAGCAGTAGCAGTAGCAGCAGTAGCATCAGCAGTAGCAGTAGCAGCAGTAGCAGAAGCAGCAGCAGCAGTAGCAGTAGTAGTAGCAGTAGCAGTAGCAGTAGCAGTAGCAGTAGTAGTAGTAGTAGTAGTAGCAGCAGCAGCAGCAGCAGTAGCAGTAGCAGAAATAGCAGCAGCAGTAGCAGCAGCAGTAGCAGTAGCAGTAGCAGCAGTAGTAGTAGTAGTAGTAGTAGTAGTAGTAGCAGCAGCAGCAGCAGCAGAATCAGTAGCAGTAGCAGTAGCAGCAGCAGGAGCAGCAGCAGCAGTAGTAGTAGCAGCAGCAGCAGCAGTAGTAGTAGTAGCAGCAATAGTAGTAGTAGTAGTAGTAGCAGTAGCAGCAGCAGCAGCATCAGTAGCAGTAGCAGCAGCAGCAGCAGTAGTAGCAGCAGTAGCAGCAGTAGTAGCAGTAGTAGCAGTAGCAGTAGCAGTAGCAGTAGCAGTAGCAGCAGCAGCAGCAGCAGCAGCAGCAGTAGTAGTGGTACTTGTAGAAGTAGTAGTAGTAGTAGTAGTACTAGTAGTAGTAGTAGTAGTAGTAGTACTGGTAGTAGTAGTAGCAGTAGCAGCAGTAGTAGTAGCAGCAGCAGTAGTAGTAGTAGTAGTAGTAGTAGTAGCAGTAGCAGCAGCAGCAGCAGCAGAATCAGTAGCAGTAGCAGCAGCAGCAGTAGTAGTAGTAGTAGTAATAATGATAATAATAATAATAATAATAATAATAATACTTTAAGAAGAAGAAGAAGAATAAAAATTAAATAATAATTTAATTAAAATAACAATAATAATAATAATAGTAGTACATGTACTAGTAGTGGTGGTAGTAATAATAATAATAAACGAACTAAACTATACTGAAATAGAACATTATAATGTAAATTCAGAAAAATATTGTTTCTTTATATTTAGATATGTATAGTTCAAAATAGATAACTTGTTTAATACAGATATACAAAGTAGTGGGCCTAATAAATATGGAAACCCATATACATGTATTATCTTATCCGTTTTCCAGGTTATACTCTTTTATTTTTTCCTTTTCAGAGCAAATAAACGTTATTTTTTATATATAGGGGAAGAAACTGTTGCACAATCTTATAACCAGCCAATAAATTTTATCTCCCTCTGTAGCAAACATCAAAATGGGTATATGATGTCGGTTATGAACCAGTTAAAACCAACATATCTATACCGGCGGACAAAAAAATCTAACGAATGCTCTTGCATTCTGTACCGAACGGTAAATCCATCTCAAGAATATAATTTTTTAAAGAAACAGCGATGGAGGACGTGGACAAACTGCATCGTTAATTTAACCGTCTCCAGGAAATATGTGTTAACTTAGTGTTCAAATGCATGAGTGTGTTCATTGAGTTTATTTATACTCGCCACCGATTGCTTATATTAGTCATTTTATATTTTGGAGGATAGTGCAAGATAGTGAAAGATGCCCCAATTACAGAAGCTCCCCATGGTTCTTTAACGTGTCTAGTGTTTAAGCACTCATACATGGGACCTCGATTTAAAGTCTCATCCGAAAGACTGATGAGTAATTTTAGTTGGCCAGCCATGGAATCGAACCCACAATGTCGAGATTACAAGTCTCGCACTCTAACCGATTGAGCTATGGACTGGCTTTACACAAATTCATGAATCCAAGGTCTGATGTTATAAAGAAATTATCAAAGCTCAAGCTCAGAATCTCAGATGTCAGGTATTTGAATGGTCAGAAACCGTCACACTGACAAATGAAAATCCATAGACATGAGAATGAGGCTAGAAAAAGTTTTATAACCTCGAGGCCAAGATTAAAATCATAGTATTTGTTGATATGTTACAGTAAGAAAGAGATAAACTGAATAATGTGAAGAAAAAAAGCTAGATGTGTTTCAAAAGCAAATAAAGAAACAGCCATCTTTTTCATCAGTTTAAATGTCATATGTCAATCAGTAAAGTGTCATTGTTCGTTCACTGAATGTGATTGGATAATCTTTGGTCGCATATCAAATATTTTTGTCAGTGCACTATCATCTATGTAATTGTTTCAAACAAATATAATGTCATTGGTCGTTCATCAAATGACGCTGTTTCCCATTTGAGCCGCGTCACGACAAAACCAACATAATGGGTTTGCGACCAGCATGGATCCAGACCAGCCTGCGCATCCGCGCAGTCTGATCAGGATCCATGCTGTTCGCTTACCAACTCTATTACAAGTAGAGAAACTGATAGCGAACAGCATGGATCCTGATCAGACTGCGCGGATGCGCAGGCTGGTCTGGATCCATGCTGGTCGCAAACCTATTATGATGGTTTTGTCGTGACGCGACCCATTTTTTCTGAGATGTCAGTCTCTTATTAGCTCCTCTTTGGAATTAATCTGATACAATTCACTTACAAACGATTTCAATGATTTAATAAAAGTACCAATAAGAAAAATGTCACAAGTAAAGTCAGTAACAACAGAGACTATCATCTACATATCTTATCGTTCAATCGTTAGGTCATTAAACAGCAGGCTGTAGAGGTTGAACCCTAATTCTAGTAATTTTATTCTTAAAAACCCGTTTTTTCTTACACGTCTTAACAAGATTTCCAAAGTCAAAAACAAAAAATAGTGCTAGGAAAACTACAAGTACTAGCACACCTATACCGCCGAGCACTTTAGCAATTGTCCGGTTATCCTTTGCACTTTTCAATGTTGAAATACCCTTGCTTGTCTTTTCTTTATTTACGGTATAAGGATTTAACAGAACTGCAGTGGTATTTGATGACTTGGAGCATATAATGTAAAAATTGTGTTGTTTGCAGTCTTTTTCTTGAAGAAAACTCGTCTCCTCATCGGTTACTGATAACGTCAAACAATTATCTCCCTGCCTAACTCTCCCGTCTGGAATTAGATCTGAAAAAGGTAATGTTTCAAACTGACAATTACGTGATGGAAGAATATTTTATAAGACCAAATCAAAATATGTAACTAACTTTAAGTTTTTTCAGGTTACACATTGGCTAGATAATGTCTGTTATGCCAAACTCCGACGCAGTGGTCTCCCTTAGCCCGGCTACACAGAGCGTTGCCAATCAAATCACTGCGAGTGGTTTGGTGATATGAAAGTATTAAAGGCTTTTGCTTCAGATCCCAATGATCGTGAGTTATAGCCATATCTTATTTTATCACATGATATCAGTGCTTGCAGCTTTCATAACAATTGACCTCCCACTTATGAGTTTGAGATATGTACTTGTGTCCGCTAATTACTATCAATTATCATAAACGGCGGATGTATTTCTTATTTGAGATAATTGAAAACAGAAATATTGACAAACAAGTACTTCTTCTTATCGACCTTTTTCTCAAATAAGTCTTACTATAATTACAATAACAGAAATGCAATTAATATAAATCTTTTTCATGCACTATCCATGCAGTATCTGCATCATTTAAAACACTGCTAAATAAAAATCTGCATCAGTATGGTGGCTGATTTGTGCCATTCGTGTTTCCGCCCCGCAACCCCGCCAGGCGAAAAGTCGAGAATTAACAAGTTACAACGGCGGGGTCGCGGGACGAATACACGCTCATTAGCAAGGGCGCGGGGCGAAGTTTAATAAATAAAACTTCGCCCCGCGGGGGCGCGGGACGAGAGTTAAAAAATAAAACGACAGGGCGCGGAGCGAAAACACGTTAATTAGCGTCTCCGCTAATTATCGTGGTTCCGCTAATTATCGTGGTTTCGCTGCGCGCCTTCACCATTTTAACTTGTTAATTTTCGACTTCTCGCTTGGCAGGGTCGCGGGACGAAAACACGCTAATTAAACTTCTCCCCGTGCCCGTACTAATTAGCATATTTTCGTCCCGCGCCCCCGCCGTTTTATTTCTTAAATCTCGTCCCGCGCCCCCGCGGGACATAGTTTTATTTATAAAACTTCGCCCCTCGCCCTCGCTAATTAGCGTTTCTTCGCTCCGTGCCCCGCCTCCGCCATTTTAACTTGCTAGAACTTTCTCGACTTTTCGCTTTGCGGGATCGCAGGACGAAAAAGCGCTCATTAGCGGGGGCGCGCGGCGAAGTTTTACTCATTAAACTTCGCCCCGCGCCCTCGCTAATTAGCGTGTTTTCGTCTCGCGACCCCGCCATTTTAACTTGTTAATTTTCGACTTTTCGCTTGGCGGGGTCGCGGGGCGAAAACAAGAAGGGCACAAATCAGCCACCATATATTAGAGTTGCAATTATTTAATAAATGTGAAAATGACACTTTGACCGAAATATTACCTTCCAATAAATATTGGCCAGCTTTTAATTTCAATATCTTGGCGAGCTTAATGTATTGTAGAGGATCGCTGAATTTGACAACTGTGCTATTCCATTTATATTTACAGGCCAAAGTCGCCATATGGCCGGATCTCCGCGTATAATCCACACAGAAGTTTTTTCCTTTCATATACGATTCATCTAAAAGCACACATAAAAATGAATGGTATATGTTTATATTTAATGAATTTCTTTACTGAAGAATCGGATTGCCATCGATACAAGCTCTCCCAAATTATATTTGGCATTTAAGCCATTTGGAAATTTTTGTTTCTACATAATTTCTAATTTTTGAAGGTATCATATATCATAAATATAATAATGGTCATTATACAGCGATATAATTTATTTACCCCCCATCCCCGCAAAAAATGAAAGGAATCTTTAAAGTGGACGATAACCAAATAATGTTAGACATCAAACAAAAAAATCTTTGTATCATAGTTTGGGGACCTTTCTGTTAAAAATGTGTCAGAGTTAAATCGTATACATAAACATGCACAGTGCGTTAACTGGAGTGCGGGTATTAGTTACCCATACTCTAAAGCATACCCATTGATTGGCTCATTTTGCTGGGGTTTACTTATTGTGACAGAAGAGAAAGGGAAAGCGACAGAAATATCATATTCAGATGCTGTTCATTGGTTATTTTTTCCCGGGGTATCATATTGTGACAACAGGGAACGTGTTTTTATGTTTGACTATGATACAAAAGAGAAAGAACATCAAAACACTCGGCAATCTGGTTATAATACTCGGGGGCTACGCCCCCCTCGTACAAATCAGATAGCCTCGTGTTTCGATGCTCTTTCTATTACTTGTCTTACTCTGGTAATTTAAGACATTTACTATCTGCTGATTCTAAATGATTGTGTTATGGGTTTGATGTTAGTGGTCAATGACGTATTAAGATAGTCTTACTGCAATGCTTTCCCGCCAAAAATTCTAACATCTGCATAATGCGTAACACTGGTGTTATATTTTCACAAATACACAGAACAATGCAAAAAAGTACAACTCTTCCGTCACATATTCCATTATCCCATTCCGGAAATGTGGAATCTTTTAACATAACTACATATATAGCAATATGTATCAAAACAAACATATTAATTTTTAATTCTATCAAATTGAGTTGGGATTTCCACTCATCTCTCACTGACAGATCATACTATACATCATTGTGGAAATAGGCGTACCTGCTCTTCTCTGGCACAAACATCTGGTGGTTGATTCATGTGTATGACATGATATCGGTCGATTAAAACTTCTGTTAGACATGATGTAGCACCGGCTTTCTTGCTCTATTTTATGCACCCAAACATCTGACAACGACAAGCACATTGCGTCAGTAAACTCTCTAGTTACTAAAAACGTACCAAGTTTTTCTGCTATGTTGGCACAGTAACCAAGCTGATTACAATGAGAGTTACACGCCGGAAATGACATCATACTTTCACTGACGTAATAATCCATATCGGGTACAGTCGAATGTGTCACCCAATAACCTAACCGAGTTGTACAATTTGAAAGGCCGGCTGAAACATATTAATATTGATATCACATCTGTCGATTGTAAAAGAGTTCTATCGCTATGCTTTCTTGCTTTGCATGAACATTGATCGACAAAAAATGACTTACCTTTGTCTATAGGACAAAGTCTAGCTGCTCATTTGTTTTTCTTTGGTATAATTATAGACCTTTTGACACTAGATTTTTGTTTGAAACTGCACACTTTATTCGAGGCCATTTCGACAAAAATTTGGACACTGGAGCAAAAACATTACTAGCAATATGGCTATGAATGCAACAATATTGTGTTATAAGTGGCACTCCATTGGCTATTAAATATATACATCATAATTATAACAGTATCCTGTTTCCTGTAATTAAGGATGTAACATACAGTTAAGTAACGCTTTATATATGTATATAATTGTTCTTCTAAAACAATTTCCAAACATCGAGGAATATATTAAATATGTACAGCAAATGTTTATATACATTATAATTTAACGTTAAAATTCATTTATTCATATAAAAAAACTGGATTAGGTTTTATCGAAAATAAATTTCTATTTACCTCCCTATACTTACATGAAATGTTAAATCCGGTGATATCTTTACAAATAGTGCTAATTTAAACTTACAATATTGATAAATCTTCATTAGAGCATCCGCTTTATGATATAAAACCATAAAAACATATTGCGTTACAGAATCTTTAAAATTAATGCGAAAATCTGGCATGATATGGCATACTGCGCTCCTCGTAGCCGGCAGTTAGCTCAAGATATTTCCATAGAAAATGAACTATGCATAAAAAATTATCATCAGCAATAACTTTTTTAAATATTTACTACTTTTTATACGACATGTCAAGAAAACAACAACATATCCTATGAATAATAATCACATTTAATAAGCCACGGTTTGCGTCAGTTATTTTTAAAACTGTATGTAATCTTTAATCTTGTAATTAATGGTGTTACACAGATAATTGTTTGAGACACACACACTATCATTGTTTCAGACACTCCCAACCATTGTTTCAGACACTCAATACCATTGTTTTAGACACACTATCATTGTTTCAGACACTCACTATCGTTGTATCAGACACTCACTTTATCGTTGTTTCAGACTCAAACTATTATTGTTACAGACACTCACAGTCATTATGTCAGACACTCACTATCGGTGTTTCAGACTCACACTCTCATTGATTCAGACACACACAGTATCATTGTTTCAGACACACACACTATCATTGTTTCAGACACCATCTATCATTGTTCAGACACACACACTATCATTGTTTAAGACACACACACACTATCATTGTTTTAGACACCATCTATCATTGTTTCAGACACACACAATTATTGTTTCAAACACACACCATCATTATATCAGACATTCACTGTAATTGTTTTAGATACTCACTATCGTTGTGTCAGACTCACACTATTTTTATTTCAGACTCCCGCCATCATTGTTTCAACCATCATTGTTTCAACCATTCACTATCATTGTCTCAGACACACCCTATCATTGTTTCAGACATACACTTTCTTGTTTCAGATACACACTAACATTGTTTCAGACTCAAACTATCATTGTTTCAGACACCCACTATCATTGTTTCAGACACTCACTATCATTGTTTCAGACACTCACTATCATTGTTTCAAACACCCACTATCATTGTTACAGACACCTACTTGTATTCAAACACTCATAATCAATGATTCGTGATCAGACACTCGCTATTCATAGAATTGTTTCAGACACACACCCTTATTGTGTCAGACATGCTTTCAAACGCAAATAACATTATTTGCAAAGAAAAAAGTATTTCCAATGCGTTTTCATTTTTCTGGTATCAGAGAATTACGTCAGAAAGGTATCTTATACCTTATAACATATAGATTGTTTATAGGTACAATTTAAAGATTTTGTTAAAATTGTATGCCTAAGTCTTTTCTTAAGAACAAATACAGAAACGTAATTTTGATAATAGTAATGTATATGTTCATAATTATGCTCTTTGTCCCAGCGACTTAATATTCGCGAATTTCGCGGCGAAAGTTTTTACCCGCGAAAAACGTAATCCTTATGAAAAACGCTAAATATTGTGTCCGTGAAAGTTGAGGAATAACATATCCTCGAGCGCATTTGAATGATTTTTCTTTAAAGAGTGATAAATCACTGTTCACTGAAATTTGAAGAAATATCACGAATATTCGACTTAGAACTTTTTTACTATGTAATACATGTAGTATAATTATTTGTGATTTTAAAACAAGATTATACATAAACAAATTTTCTAGTAAGCTCTAATTTTAAAATGTTTTTTTTTGGTTTTTAAGGAAGAAGAATAAAAAGCTAACCTTCCAGGTATTTATGTAGCGTTATTAAATATTATATAATGCTTAGTAAATATATATATCTTATCATATATGCCACATTGGTGAAGAAATTTAACCTGTAATATATAATGCTTAGTAAATATATATATTTTATCATATATGCCACATCGGTGATGAAATTTAACATATAATATATAATGCTTAGTGAATATATATCTTATCATACATGTCATATTGGTGAAGAAATTTAACCTACCGGCGGTAAATTCGACAAGAAGAAAATGTAAAATTATTTTTAACATCCTAGAGCACGAACATTCGTTCAGTTTGACCATATTCTGGTTCTTTGAGAACGTCAGTGATGTGAAATATTTGATTTTAAAATATCTAAAGCGGAAGTTTCACTGTCAATACGGAATTTCCTGTAATATACCTTATCGCGAACAATTACAGAAATGTCCAAACAAAGGATTAGGTACATATTAAAACGTGAATTGGGTCTGGACATTATCGGAACATACACACACGAATGGTAAAGTAAAAAAAAAACAACAACAAAAAACCAACACTACTGTTTCGTCTGGCTGATGATTTAAAGTGGATAGATATGAGACATTATCTTCACCAATTTCAGGTTGAGGAATGTCTGACTTTTTTTTTACTTAAAATCATGATAAAGGTGTGTGCAAATGTTGATTACAGTACTAATACAAATTCTATTAGACAAGCGTACAACTAAAAACCTTTATTGAACGAGACGCTATTTTATTGGTAATTTGGTGATATAATACGCTTTGTTAAAGGTTTGTAGTTATCTATCAAGCTATGTTTTCGATATTGTTTCATGCTATATAACACCGCAAAACGTCTGTACCGCAAAACGCACGTATGCACACATCGTCCACATTTTTCTGACGTACATTTTGCTGCAAAAAGGCGTGGTCCTGCCGCATAACGTGCATTAAAAAATCGTTAATTTTAACCAGCTATTATCAGGTGTTATTGTGTGTTAATTTTAGCTCACCTGAGTATGCGCCTGTCTGTCTGTCCGTCCAAATTTAGCTTGTTACCACTCTAGCATCCACATACCCTATGTCCAGAATTATCTGCCCTTGAATTACAATATCTGTTATATTTCAAATTGTTACCACTTCAACGCTTTCATTTCTTCTTCAATCTTCTTCAATTTTCAACAGAATATCTATGACCATAAAATCTCAACAAAGTTAGATTACAGGCTAAATCTAACCAACAAAAAACAAACAACAAAAAACGGACACTATTTCACCTTGTTAGTGCTTTCGCTTTTTTCTCAATTCTTATTTTTTTTTTTACAAAATATGTATAAACATAAGGTCTCGATCATTTAAGTTCATTTATGAGCTAAAACGACTGAATATGTCAAGAGTTATTTGCATTTGCATAATAAAAATAAAGACACATTTTAAAGTGAAATTATTTAATTGTGATAAAACTGCCATTTCTTTGTTATCAATGATCAGATGTCATTCATACATTTATGACAGGACGGGCATCTTGAATAGTTCAACTATAATATTGACCTTGTAATGACATTGACCTCAAGGCTACTATTGAATTTTGCTTAAATTACCATATCTTTGTCATTTACAGATATTTGGATATTGATGACCATTTCAGACGTAGAATTGAGTACTGATATCAGTTACCCAGATTCTGACCAAGTACATGAAATGTACTTGCTTTTTATTTGTGATATTCAATGCTATCTACCCTTGTCAAGTGGAGCCTTTAAAGGCAGGTGGGCGATATAAGGCCACCATGACCTTTTTGCTTTGTTCAATTATAGAATTACATGGTTCAATTATAAAATTACATTATGGCATTCAAACAAAACGCTTACATAACGATATTTTAAAATATGCTTTAGTTTTTATCGAACTTCTTTTTTTCCATCATTTCCTATGCGGAAGAATGTTTGTTATAGTATACTCTATTTCATATTATCTATTTAACGTATAGGCGAAATGTTTTGTTCTCCAGGCGATTAAATAATACGGTTTTAGTAAAGGGACGGACTTTCCGACTAACCTATAGATTAAATCATTTTTCAAAGTTATATTTTATGACAATTTCAAACTTGCATTTACTAGATTTGTAGTTCAAAATATTTGAGCCGCGTCAAGCAGAAATGCGCACTATCGTCATTTTTTTCCACATATTGATGATGTTCAAAAATTACAATCTCATCTTTGAGAAAATATATTAAAAGTTACAGGGTTAGTTACTGACCCGATACGGGGATACACGGTTCTGTAGGAAACCATAACGGGACTCAACCCACAGAACCGTATATTACGGCACTAACCCTTTAACGATTCTATCACGCCGAAAGCCTTCCTCATCGTTATTTATCATAACCAGGGAGACGATACCACGTGACAAAGAAATATCTTTAAAAAAGATAAATGGTGTTGATGGAAAAGATTTTCATGTATAAGAAAGAAAGAAATATAGAGCGGCAAAGTGGACGCAATTTAGTAATTATATTTTACTTGCTATATCTATTGCCAAAACCATCACTGCCTTCTTAGCATGACCTAAGAATTAACTTAAAAAATTTAAGACCGAGCATGTCGTTACAAAGACAATGGTCCAGCTAACATTTGTGCCAAGTTTGATTAGTATTGAAGCATTTTTTCATAGTTTCATAGTAGTTTGAACTTGTAACAGGAAGCTTTTTAATGAAAATGGCCATTTTTCACAATATGCTCATGAGGGAAAAGGTTAAGCGACCGAGTCATGGAAACCCCATAATTTCATTGAAAGTGACAGAACCAATAAAAGTAACGTTTATAATGAATATATTTTAATACAGAAAATATGAACGATATGCGACGCAAAGACACACTCTCGCCGCAAAACGTACTATAAAAAAGTACTATAATTATGCACTGCAAAACGTCCACATGTGTACTATATGCGACACAAAACGTCCACACGCGTACGTTTTGCGGTACGAACGTTTTGCGGTGTTACAATGCTATGCTTTAGGTATGCGGTGGGTTATATATAGATGATATTTTATCGATATTTGGTGATATATTATGCTATTTCACCTGGTATGTAGTGATATGT